ATGCTGTAGAATAACATTAACCTGGCCGAAGCAAAGTAAAGGCCAGTTTTCGTAGAGAGAGTTACTCTCAGCTCAGATATTGGATAGGTTTCCAAAATCATTTAAGACGAGGGCGATATTCCTATTTAAGTTTGACTGGATGATACCATTGTTTGAGATGATGGAGTCGAGAGACTTGAATTGGTCAGCCTCTTGAAGCGAAACTGAAATCAGTGCAAGACATGTTTTATTTATACGTGATGCAAATACTGCCGCAAATTGGATGATTGATGGTTCTAGTGTATTTGCCTTCGAGATGAGTGAGCTTTTGAAGATGTTCTGCTACTCGTTCGCAGCAGTTCGTAAGTTCAGATCTAGAAGGCGTAAGATATAAGGTGGATAGATAGACTGTTTGGTGCTGTTTTCAGTACGACCACAAATCCATCATTAAAATGCAGCATTAGGAAAAAGAAAAGAAATAAAATCAGGGAAAAAAGACATTGAACATGCGCGGGATAAAAGCACTAGAAATGTAATGAAACAAGCAGCATTCAAGCTTAATAAGATTAGAATTTAAGAAGATGCTGTTTTGAAAGATGCGATGAGTTAATTGGATTTGACGTGGATAAAACGCGGGAGTGGAGATAACACTTGCTTGATAGACGATATTAAATCATGAAAATTCGCAGTGAGTAACAGTGATACAGGGAGAAAAAATATTGCAGAAAATTCTAAAAATTATTGCTGAAGAATTAAAGAAATTTTTATGAATTAAAAGAACGAATGAAGTGATGTTGAGAAGAAATTTAATAATTATGATTAAAAAGAAGACAAATGAAATGGAGAATAGGGTTAGAATAAGGCATAAATATAGGACATCTGGAACTTAGGAGTTATGTTTGCGCCATTTGACATACTCAGGGGTCGAAACTGAATTGGTAGGAAAACATTTTCGCGGAAGCATAGGTGGTGCTAACTCCTGAGACCCGTTCGTGATGAGCGTTAGGTGGCTCTGCCGGACAAAAATGATGTGAGATGCATATGGCACTGCGGGTATTCAAATACCATAGAGCCGAGGCCTGTTTTAAATGCTGTCCCCCTTGGTTACTAGAATTAAGTAGGCGATACGGTGCGCCGTGAAATCCGGTCTTGAAGAATTTTCGTGTTTGAAAAGAATGGAATTTGAATAATGCGACGGTAACTAAGGAAGTTACGCGAAGTGCATGGGCATGAAAAGCGGGCGTAAAAATAAGAAAAGCAAAAGCAAACATGAATCAAGGTAAGAGAAACCGGATTGGAGAAGTAACGTGGAGAGATAGAAGGAAAGTGACAGAAGATGAAAAAGCAAAGGAAGATGTAGATATAGCGGAATGATAAAATAACATAAATAAACAAGATTAATACGAGGAATAGTATCTTATTGACGAGACTGTCGAGAACATGGAAAATAAAACAAAATTAAAGTGAGGAAAAGCAGTGCGACGGCCGAACGAAAGAAGTATTCGAATATCCGAAGGAAGACTACGTGAAATGAATTAGAGAGAAATAACAGTGATGACAAAAATGCGGAAGTTATAAGACAAAAATGAAAAGGAATAGAGTAAAATTAAATAATGGAAAATTTGGTGCAGAAAAGTAATAAAAGCGAATATGTTGTTATGCATTTTCATCTGTTATGTCCTAAAGTCCTTTTCAAGATTTGCTTTACTTCAGACTGACATTCAGAACGGGTTTCAGTTCTATTCGGAAAATTTTTTGTAAGTTTTAATCTGTTCCATGCCTGTCAGCACGTGTTCGCTGGCGGCTTGAGAGAATGTGTTGTAAATAGCAGTTATATATCGACTGTTTGTTATTACATGTTTTTTTGCGCAAATATATTTTGGAATATTTCTTCATTTGTTATCAATTTGTCACCGTAATTGATTTCTGCACTGATATTAGATGTATAAATGTGCACTGCTAACGCTCATTTGAAGTCGCTGTTTTGAAGATCACGACTTGGGGAGTGAATCCTTATATAGCATCAGACCAGAACTTTGTTTCAGCACTGGTGGTACTTTAGAATTCATATTATTCTGTTAGACAGACGACTATACATTATTATAAGGACATCCACTAAAGTAGCATTGGAGATTATGAAGAAATATCAACAAGCGGATTGCTGGGTTTGCTTTCGTGTGTAGAGTGAAGGTTGATGGAGACAGTTATTCTTTTGCAATTCGCGTCAGATGAAATGCAGAGTTAGCATTCAGGTGACCGTAATGCACTCAGCTATATGTCTGGTTTTATTTCTGCCTTTCAGCGAGTGTGGCAGACTTGTTGGAGTTATCACAGCTCGAGTTTCCATACTTCCGCCAGCACAGCGTTCAGTGTTATTGAACTATGCTTGTTATTTCGTGATGCACAACTGGGATTCCAAGATGAAAATTTGCTGCATATCGAAATAAACAACATGACTTCTGAGTTTCTCAGTTTACGTCGTAATTTGACTTGTTCAATTAGTGCATTATCAACAGGATTTTTGCTACTGCTTTCAGTGTTTAATATAGCCTTGTAGTCTTTGTCCAAAATTTTTTTTGAACTGTTCCTCATCTTTTCTCCTTCCTCCTGTTAAAGTCTTTTCCTTTGCCCACAAGTGGCTTTCGTTTGTTTGATATGGCGTTTGTCTTTACGTCAATCTGCAGCCGTCTACGCTTATTTGATGCCGCCCTTTGCATAATGTTGTGCTATGCTCTGTTCTGTCATCGCTCTCGCTTCGAACACTTAAATCAGAATTGAATCTGGGAAATAAATTAGAAACAGCGCGATGATGGACGATGACATGCCGCTTTGCTGCGTTGGTAGGAAAAGCTGTCCCGACTCACTCACGTAGTGAGGCTGGCCACAATCACTGCCGCTACGCAATCAGTTAACAACTACGAGATATTGATGTATCTAATTAATTGAAATTAGTCGTAATGGGTTTGACACGATTATTTACATTATTTGTTTACAGTGTTTGTAAGTGGCAATCTTTCCTTGTATGTTTGTACATTGGTAAAGAAACGTCTGATTTAATGGTACGTTGTTTTCAGGTACTGTCTGCAGGTCCTCCGAACGTGCCTCCACCGCCTTTGCCATCCAGCTACCAGAAAGGTCCGCCAGAAAACAAGAGGACGATAGCGCCTTTGGCCAAAAGCGAAACCGTAGCCACAGCCTCATCGGTCGTCGTACCGCAGTCGGTGGCAGCAGCGTCTTCTAACCAAAACCGGGCATCATATGCCGCTAGCAGCCAGCAGGACGAGTTTGACGACGACTGGTCAGACGACGACTCGCAGGGGCAGGTAAATGCTTATATACATAACCACGAACCGCTTGGAGTGAGTGCTGATTCGGCCGTCACCCTGGCTGACGGAAGGGGCGCGTGTTTTTCCGTGGTTTGTGGTGTTTGTTTGTGTCCGTGTCTTTGTCTTCGTTCTCGTGTTCGTGCTGGTCATTCATTCACAGTGTTTCAACTTATTGACGTACCCTGATTGTGAGTAGATCTCCGCTGCAGCTGCTGGCAGCGAGTCAGACCGAGCGTAGCGTTGCTAACCGACGAACTGCGTTGCATTCTGT